GGGGCGCCCCCCCCCCCCCCTTGCCCCCCTCTCATAAACTCACCCTCGTTGCGGACCGGAGCTTTAGACGTATGCCATGGCTGTTCTATACAGTCTATAGAACCATACATTCCGATTCACAAGATTATAAGTGCCATATATTATCACAAGTTTCTAATACCATTATAAAAGTAGTTAGTTTAACAGTGGTTAAACATTGCTGGGCTCATACATCTTTTTTATATTGATATAGTTGGCTGTTGCACTTGGTACCCATGTCTTAGGAATTGTTCTCGCGATTGTTGGATTGTCTGTTGGAGCCGCGTTTTGGGCTATACTGAGTTCAACTTGTACCGACACTAGTTATAGTTATGGTACTTATTTCCGCTTCAATCGTGACGGCTACTGTTCTTGTTATTACAGCAGCAGCGTTGAGACATGTAAGTTGTTGATTTTGTTTATTCTCTCGATAAGTCTGAATTCCCCATATTGGTCTTGCGGAGTCACGTGGAATATTGCAAGCGATGTTAAAAGTCAATTCTCATGTCGTTCTCTTAGATCCGGCTAGCTGCTCCGACCTGAAAACTGTTCGCGAAGCCACTGGTGCAGTCACGATCGTCTTTGCTCTTTTTGCTATCGTCACTTTCGTGGGATCAATTTATGGCTGCATTGGAACTTGCTGTGCACCACGGGTAAATTATGCTTGGTCCAATTTGATCAAAATGCGAGGACTTGAAATTTAGTGCAGTACGTCCGAATTGGAGGATTTGAAATGACAATCTCATACAAATAAATCACTACTTTAAAGTGAGGTGAATTAATTTTGATCCAATCCAACTGAATCATGCAATATGCTTCATCAGGTACCAGTATTATGATGAGAGAAAAATAAAGCAATAGCCTAATAGGGTTGGCTGATTACTAATGAGTTGGAAATACAATTATTTGAAACTCATTAATAATTCATGAGTAAATTAGTCAACCGTATTGCTTTATTTTGCTCACATTATAATACTGGATATCTTTTGAAGTATATATATATACAGGGTGTATAAAAAAAGGTAAGGTAATCGAACTTCAGCGCGCTATTGTATCTGAATTACTCTGCGTATGAACGAGATTTTTCACATTCGGAAAGATCATGCTTTTAGCTGTTGAATGACATCTTCTTCATGCCAAATGGATAAAAAATGAGCAAATACGAATCCGATAAAAAATGTTAGTCAGAATCGCATATTTTCACCGTTGAGAGTTGGGTCTAAAACCATTGAAAATGAACCCCCTTTAGGACTTAAGTTGATGAATTCACTTCATTAAACTGCACACATATTCATAATTATTATTAAGTAGGACTAAATCTTAGCTAAGCTACGACACGTTCGTGATTAATTGCTTTTTTCTTTTGTTATGCATTGACTAACTTTTTTAATCGGCCTCGTACATGCTTATTTTTTCTCCACTTGGC